CACCCTACGTGCTCTCAGTGTTGCTACGGTTCAGACTCAGAACCCTCAGCTTGTGAGTGAATTCTCCATGAATTGTAGAGCACATGCAAGGTGCACCTGCTCTTTCTTTCCTTAGATAACGAGTGCTTGCAGCACACTCACAGAAGACGGATGAGGGTACCCCTTACTGAGAGCCGGAGACTGGACAGAACTCCAGAGGTGGGGAGCCCTAGACAGGCCTTGGATGTGGAAGGGACTCTTCTCCTCTCCTCAGAAATGTGGACACAGCACAGACCCTACATTTAGTTTTGGTTGTTGCTGTTTTAATATTACAGAATTATGCCAGGACTCATCTCAGATGGGAATGGGAATGTTATTCCCACATCCACAGGGGACGTCTGTTCCCATTTTTCTATCGCTTACCATCAATCAGAGACCACTACTGCCTACAGGATGACGTTGGGAGTCTTCAGCATTCAAGGAGCCTCAGGGCCAAGCCAGCTGCCATGATGGTTCCAATTTGTCTCCTGCCTCCTTCCCATCCACACCAGACACTCCTTTCATACAAAAGTAATTGTGCTGTGTAACAAGACATGGGTCTTCACACGTCCAAGTCGTTAATGAAGCTGTTCCTCACTCTGGCAAAATGCTGGCACTTTCCAAGACTCAGTTCAAAGCAGATTCCCTGGAAGCGATCTCTCACTGCACTGGGCAGAGCTCAACACGGCACCCTCTGGCTTTGCTGCTCAGTTTCCAAGCGCAGTTCTGGCCACATGCCCGTGATCGCAGCTTCGGCTGTCCGTACTCCTCTCGACGTGAGTCCTCGAGCCACTAAATTTATTTTTGTACCCCCAGTAACTGATTCAGAGTCAGTAGCTGGAAAATAAGCTTTCTACACATGCTTACGAAAAGAGGGAAACACAAATCTCTGGCTGAATTACTGATTGAGTAACTAGACTGAGTGATACCTCTCAGGTTAACTGGTTTATTCAAGTGTTCTTAATTCTGACCGACCTCTGGAAGACAACAGAGGTGCTTTTAGGGAGTTGGGGATGTGTTGTATAAACTATTGCAGTGTTGAACACAACTCGGCTCGGGGAGTACCCTACATGGATAGGATAGAGCTCCCGTCGAGGCCAGAATCCCTCCTGGTCTTGAACAAAAGCAGGATCTTACACACGGAGCAACTACCACCTTCTCTCCCCAAAGTGAAGCTTTCCTTTTGCAGCTATTTAGTTTGTAAGATTCAAGGTGATGCTAATCAACTCTGTATGAGAACTTTGCAGTCCTCTCTCCTATATTTTGGGCACTCAAATAGGGAGGAGTAGGGGAGCCTGCCCGACACCTGCTTCTCTTACTTAGTTCCAAGG